ACCACTCCCAGTTCATCTGGATATTTCCCACGGTTTGCAAGGCGACTGCCTGTCCCAATTTTGGCGCGAAATGTCACCTAAGATCCAGAAGGGTTTTGATTAAATCAAACTCTTCACTACGTGAGCATGAAACTAAAATGATTGAATACAAAAACCAGGACAAACACCAAGATTTTTAAAAGATACAAACCTGGCCAGCAGGAACATTGAGGTCCCCAGTCAGTTTTACTGCCTCCACATATTCAAAAAACTCAACATCTGAAGACCTGTCATCCTCTCCATTCCATTGACCATATTTGCGCCTCAATTGCACAACTTCAGTGCCATAAGGGCCAAATGCACCGACATACAGTCCTACATGTCAACCAGCAGATCTCAAAATTCCATGTTGGAAGAGATTGTATATATATACACGTGCATGCAACCATACTCACCGTCAAATGGATCTATATTGCCTTCAGAAGTGCTAATTCGACTAAAAGTTGTATACTCAGATAGTCTGCTCTGCTTCTGTGCCTGAGTGACAGCAAGTTTCACAATTTCACGTACATCTCTAGAAACCTAAGAAAAGTTAACAAATAACCTAGTTATTGTCAAGAAAAGCAATATTGCAATCAAAAGCAGCACATAACTCCCAATTGGTGGAGCTATGACAAAAACCATGATTACACACTTCAAAAAAAATTTCAAATTTAGTAAATGAATATCAACCCATCATTAAAGTTCGACTTCCCAAACTGCTATCAAGATTTACAGAAATATAAAAATAATATCTCAGTTTTCCTGTTATTATGAGATGAACCAATCTAATGCTGAAGCATTTAAAACCTTGACAGGAAATCAAGAAAGTGCACAGGACAGTAAATTTTTTTATATTTTCATGCACCAGATAATGAGATTATGTGAATTAAGTCTGTTTATCTGTTAGGATCTCATATTGGAAGGGAAAAAGAGTGGGCATGTGGGTTATAAATGGCTTCAGCACCCTCCCTTGGCAAGCCGGTTTTCTAAGGAGAGTTATACCCAAGCCCATGAAAGACCCATTGCCCAGCCCAATTGTTTGAGTTGTTGGGGTGAGTTCCTATCAATTGGTATTAGAGCATGATCCTGCGCCTACGTGGCAAGTTGAACCGTGGCAGGCTGACCTTGGGCCTGGGTTGCTACTCCGAAGAAGGCAGATTGGCCTGAGGTAAGGGGATCCGCGAAGTCACCCAAGGGGTAAAGAGGCCGACGTGGACGCCGGTTGAGAAGAGCATGATCCTGCGCCTACGCGGCAACGCACGCGTGATAGGTTGACCTTGGGCCTGGGCTGTAACCCCAAAAAAGGGTGAATTGGCTCGAGGTAAGGGGATCCGCAAAATCACCCAAGGGGTAAAAAGGACGATAGGAGTAAAGAGATTGATGTAGACGTCGGTTGTAGAAGCGTGGTGGAATGTTAGGATCCCACATTGGAAGGAAAGGGGTAGGCATGTGGGTTATAAATGGCTTGGGCATCCTCCCTTGGCAAGCTGATTTTCCAAGGACAGTTCTACCCAAGCTCATAAAAGACCCATTGCCTAGCCCAATTGTTTAAGCGAATCGGCCCGAGGTAAGGGGATCCATGAAGTCACCCAAGGAGTAAAGAGGCCGACTGGAATAAAGAGGCAGACGTGAACGTCGGTTGTGGAAGTGTGGTAGAATGTTATGATCCCACATTGGAAGGGAAATGGGTGGGCATGTGGGTTATAAATGGCTTGGGCACCCTCCCTTGGCAAGCCGGTTTTTCAAGGAGAGTTCTACCCAAACCCATAGAAGACCCATTGCCCAACCCAATTGTTTGAGTTGTTGGAGTGGATTCCTATCACTATCTTTCGACAAACCGTTGTTTGTACCAATATTCATTAAAGAGCCTCACCAATGATACCAACTAGAAGTAAAACAATAGGAAATGGATAAAGAAAGACTTGTAAATAACCCAACTTCTTGAATCTTGAATTTAACGTATAAAATCCAAATTTACCTTTGAAGAGGTCTTTTCGGAACTCCAAAATGCCTTGGCAATTTCAGAAGGCATAAGTTCTGAAACACCTTGAGCTGCAATAGCAGCTATTTTCACTTTAGACAATTTACTTTCTCCATTGTCATAATCAAGACTTCTCCCAGGAACATGCAGCACAAACGAATCTCTCTCCATATCTTTAACATCAGCTGGCAGACGCACATAATCATCCTTGGTAGGAGTATCCTCATTATTATGTACAACACCACCAATAAAAAGTTTTGTATCCAAATCCTTTCCATCTTCTGAGGCATCATTATCTGCTTCAAGAGCAACTCCATCAGGTTGAATCCCTTCCAAGTTATCAGTTTCACCTTCGGAATCCTCACTAGATCCTGTCTCCTCATCATCTTGCATCAGCTGCTTCACAGAATCAGTACCATCCATCACTTCCTCAGTGACATCAATGTTCATAACTTTCACTTTCAGTCCTGGAATTTTTTCCTTAAGAAAATTTATAACACTTTTTATCCCTTCCTCGGTTGCTCCTTCAATAGTGATGCCCTTGTCATCACTTCTCTCTGCTTTAACTTCAGTTCCTTGAACATCTACAACAGATGCATTATCAACTTCGGAAGTTGATGGATTTTTAGTGGACTTGGAAAGTGAACTTGCAGAGTTCGTTGAACTTCCCTTTGCTCGCTGCAAATATACTACCTGTGAACAGATAATATCGGATTCAAATGTTTATGCCATTTTTGGCATCAGAAAACTATTATCTTCAAAGGAACATCTGAACTTTACCTGCATCACATAGGATTCCTCATTATCTTTGACGACAAAGATTTCAAATAGGGGAGTTCCAGGGGATGAAGTGGCCAACTGTCTGTAGCAAACTATAATTACTGACACACTCTGGATGATATCAAACTTTAAATAAAACCACAAAGGATTCATACCTTGGACTGTAATTCCTGGCAACAAATCTGCCAACACCAGGTGTTATGTGTACTAATCTGCCAAATGGATCATCTGAATCCTTGGAGTAGCCCACCCACCAGCCAACCTACCAAAACAACAATAAAGGTTAATTAAACGTTTTACATAACCGCATTCGCAGTCAGCTTTAAGAACCCCATATCACTATATAGTCAGCCCAAGCCATAAGAAAAACTAATGGCATCAATAGTCGCCATCACAAACAAAGAGTGTCAAGATATTGGGCAGAGAATCTATTCATCATATCCCTCTAAGGCCAACAGCCACCAACAAATTCTATGAGAAAAATGAACACCACCCAATCTACCATTTATTTAACCGCTGATTGAGTTCCAGCATAAAAAAAAGAGAAGATAAAATATGGAGCTGAACTGAATATAAGGCAAATTAGAGGCCCTCCAAATATAAGAATACTGGAAAAGTCCACTACAATTGGTTTGAATCTTGGCTGAACAAAAAATCAAATTCCACAATAATTCATCTAGAATATTGTTTTTTCTATAAGAAGTTAGTAATTTTGTTTTAAAGTGTCTATTCTTGAATAGTCTTCAAGTTAATAAATCTTTGTTAACATAATACCAAGTGAAGGTCCAGAAGATTACCAGTCCACTTCCCGTATATCTACACAATCTAGAAGCATCATGGTAGCGCTCTTCGTCTATCGCAGTCTGAACGAAACAGCAGATCAAGTTAAGAAACAAAACATTATCCAGTAGGTGTTTACTTCAAGGGGCTAATTCACAGGTCACACCTTCAACTGAGACATTATTTCTGCTACAGTATCCTTTGAAGTAGCTTCTGCAATAGCCTTTTTCAATTTGGCAGCTTCTTGGAAGTCTTCATTCTCAATTGCATCTTCAAGTTGAAACTGCAAAGCAGAGCAATTCATTCGGGTTAAAAAAAGCAAACAAAAATGTATCATGTAAGCTGGTTTAGACTTAGAGTTCTTAGTTATCTTTGAACAATTAATCATTGTCACGTTTTCAATGTAGCCATATCTAGACTGCTCAGTTTGAATGAGGTGATGATATCAACTAATAAAATCCACTAAACTATTAGTAATGAACAACTATGAAACATGTAATCTGAGATTCAAAGGACAAAACCCAACAAAACAATAGGAAAAAAGAACAAGAAGCAACAAAGAAAACGAACAGAGACATAAAAAAGAATTAAATAAGAGAAGTACCTTTAGAACAGAAGCATAGCTCTCAGCTTGTTCAATTTCAGAGAAGTGGCGAGTCCATCGATTCCAATCCCAATCCAAACAAGAAGAATTGTTATTACTAGTATTGCTATTGTTACTGTTGCTGCAGAGACAACAGAAAGATTTCGGGTTCTTCGAGTTCTTGGTTTTGGAAGACGAAGCAGAATTCGAACTCCAACAACCCAAAACAAAACTCAAACTGTTAGATTTCTTGACTGAGAAATCTAAGCAGTGGAAAGGCCTGGAAATTGTATGAATCATATTCATATTCATGCCCAAACCATTGTTTGCCACTAACATCTCTCTCTTTCTTTCAGTTTCTGTTAGGTTGTGTTGTTTGGAATTTGGATAGAAATATCAACGGGTGGATAAGTTCTGGCTTCAATAGAATATCCGGACCCGTGTCAATTATTGGTATCCACCTCTGCCGTGCTATAAAAATCTATTTGTTTATGTATTTTTTATTTAAAGAAATTAAATTGTTAAAAATATGATTAAGATTTTAAATGCAGATACAGTACTCAAGTTCCCCTTTTTGGAATAATAAATTTTCTAGCACGTTATTACAAATCTAATATATAAACAAAATTCATTATTATTTTTTTTTAAATCAATAATAAACAAATTTCTAAAATAAATTCACCAGTGAGTGGCCAGAGAAATCATCAAAAGTTTTCAACGACAACCATTCATTTCGTCCTGCCTCATTTAAGGGTTTTTCACAGCTGACCTTTCATCAAATGGACCCAGAAATTCCACGTTTTCTTATTTTGGCGTATTAAGAGGCCGGGACATCAATTATACAACTGAAAAATCTAATTTCCATTGGTTTATGATTCAAAAGAACTGAAGGTGTCATAAACAATTCTCATGTCACTACTCCATACACTCAATGGATCAACTCATATATATATGTATCTTTTCTACTACCATTAACCACTGCTAGCATTACACAATGGCCATGGACAAATACTGTTTCGCTTCTTGCAGCATGCGGTTAGAAGAGTATGTAGCAAAAATTGTGAGTCAGAATCTGAGAAATGGATCAGTGTTGACGTGGGGTGGCGTGACCAGCAAACACTCTTTCAACAGAAGCCAATGGCCCCATGCTCGTCTGATTTTGAGTTGCTGGAGACATTCCTCCATTCTCGGCAGTTTCCAAAGCAGTATCACTAGGAGATCCTGCATTTTCTGTACGGACTGGGCGGAGAAGACCCTGCAGCCTCACCAGATAGCTCTGGCTAGAAGGCTGGGTTCTTACATACCGACTAGCTGTCACAACACTGGTTGATGACCGTTCAGAATCGGTAGTGCGGAGATTGGACAAGGCACTCAGGTCAAGGTTTGGGAAGACTGAGCAACGGCACCTAGGACACTTCACGTTCAATCTAAGCCACTCGTCAATGCATTCTATATGAAAATTATGAGCACAAGGCAAGCCACGAACCTGCACCACTTCCAGCAAGAAACTTATGATTATAGGCCCTCTAAATTTTTTTTTTATTTTTCTTGGATAGGAAACATACAATTATATTAAAAGAAAAAGAGAGAATTACGAAAGTAGATCAAATATCCACTGAGGTGATGATATGCCCTTAAAAGATAACAATGTGTATAAACAGTTTTGAGGAAAGACTGGTGGCTTGCATCTCCATAATTCTATAATTTACATCTAGTTTCCACTGCTACTAAAGTATAAAAGTGTGTGCACCTCTGCATCCAGGTTTTATAGCTCCAATTCTTAACAATGCAATTTAATGTCTACCTCTTCCAAGGGCTCTAGCAATTACAGAGCCAGATCAAAAATCCCAAAAAGTGGACGAGATTTTTACATGAAGCTACCTTCTGACCAGTGAAAAGCCTGAGAAATACGATTTTCAGCATGCAAATCCCAATTAATGGCACCATATATAGCTAAAAGGCATCAAAGACTAGACAACTCCAAACAGTTGGAAACCAATAAAAACTATTGCATGGTTAACAAAAAAATTCTAACCTGATGACTATTTAAGGCATGTAAAACCTCATGCACTTAGATGAAGCATAAAATTAGACAAGAAATCTGACCTCATTCCCCACATAAAACTCTTCCAAGCAAATGGGGCATTCACTGCAATCAGTTGGAACAGCCTTTAACCTAAACTTTGGAAGTTCCTGAATAAGTGCCTCTACTGCTTCTCTCTGCACAACATCAGGATCCAGAACAAATTGTAAGATTAATACATCTAACAAGACTTCTAATAGAGGGAATTGTAAGCAAAAAGAAATAAGTATGGTAAGACAACCACAAATATCTACTTTACTAGAGCACCAAAATGTAATAATAGAGTGTGGCAATTCATACACCCTCATAAGTAACCAAGGAAGTGCCCCATCTATTGAAAGTGAGAATAATGAAAAATATATCCTACACCAGACAACCAAATCCTAACACAAACACAATAACAGAAATGAAGAGAGGATTGTAACTTCCCAAAATTGGTTTAAGTTCTGACTGTGCTAAGAAAGTCAGTCAATGTCTTGAGTTCATATTTAACCGCTAACGAAAACAGAGGCACGAATAGCCGACAATATAAGAATTTTTAGAAAGAGACATTACAAGAACACCTCCTTGGTCAGCTCACATATTCAACGAATGCAACAATCACATTAAAATAAAGAAAACTGTCAATTGTAGCTCTTGGTGATGCAGTACTTACCTGAGCTGCAGTCAAATAAAGTCCAGGATGGTATGCCGCAGCATCTTGGCCAATGCCTCTCATCTCTTGACCAGCAGCCTCAAATGCCCAATCTGGTACACGGATCATGTCAACCAAAACCTGGATCACAGTAAGAGGTTTAATCCAGGCACTATCAAACAGAAGTAATGTAAATTTTGGAACATCTTTTGCACTTGTCACTACAGATACATCCAGAATTGAGCAGGCCAGGTACATGGTCAAAGAATTATATTGCTTTTATACTCTCCACAAAAATGAAAAGGACTACAATAATAACTAAACCATGAAATAGTAATCTTTGACATGAAGCGGAAAAATAGCACAAAATAAAGACATGAATCTTTATAAAACCATGATTACACACTTCAAACAAAGCCATCACCTAAAACCATTGCATCACATCCTATTTTGATAACTAGTTCAACAACACTATTCGGTGATCAAAATTTTGGAATAAAGGAACTAATCAATGCATTGATAGCTGAACTTGATAAAAGGAAGTTAAATATGAAATAATCTGCCACATGCAAAAATATTTCAACCATACCCCATATTCTGAAACAGGAATTCCCTGCTGAGCACGCAATAGGTGAGCTTGTCTTCGTGTCAACCACTGCCAAATTGAAGTTCAAAGAACAAGAATTAAAACACAAGTGGAAGCATCTAAGACCAATATCTTTTATAGGCTTAAAATGTCAATTGTTGTAAGACAGAAAATGTGACTGAGAGAGCAAAAAGAGAACACTTATTCATGGCATAGAACTAGGTTATACATGAGTAAATGGAAACTGTACACAACATTGAGTACTAAACTAACCTTTCCCATGGACATGCAAGCGATGCAAAGAAGTCCACAGTAGCTGAAAAGTAACCAAATAAGGAAACCCCATTTCTGACCCTCTTCTGGCAACTGCAAGCATTTAGTGACATTGTTTCAAGCATTAAGAGTATTTGCAGATCAAAACACCTCCCAAAAATCAGAAAATAGAACACTTACACAATTTCTTGCATGTGTGAACCACAAGGTACCAATTATAGTCCAAGCCCAAAGAAATGGATAAAGCAGTAGAGATAGAATTGAAAGAACCACTACTCTTCCACAGAAACGAGCATATCTCTGCTGCCACCCAAAATCCCTAAAAGCATGTAAAGTCAAAGAATGATATATCATGTAAAATTCAGCTAAGCTATATTACAAAAAAGATATTACAATAGAAGAGAATATTAACAATGTTAAAATATTCCATACATTGATAGCCAAAAAGTAATCACAAACAAATTAGCAGAAACCTCTTATACTCACAATCCCATTCCAGCTGCTAGTCCATTATCTACGAACATTAACAATCGAAAAACAAACACAGTAGTGTAATCAACCTGAAGAATAAACAATAAACTATGAATCACGAGAAAACTTCAACTTACAAATCTAAACACTAAACATAAAACCAAAATTCAATCCATTTAAGTTCCTCAAATTTCAGAAACCTACCACGATCCATATGTGCAAAGGGTATGTACAAAGATGGTAACGCTTCCAATTGATTGCAACAATGATTCTAATGGCAAAAAATAAAATCATTAAGGAAGAACACTCATAAACTAATAAAACTTCAATAAATCCACCCTACGTAAACCTAAACAATCATTTAACACTCCATTCATAGATAAACACTAAAATATCAGTTTACATTTCTTGGCAACCAATCAAAACTTAAAACAAAATATTAAGAATCAAAAGGATACACACTTGTCGCGAGCATCGACAAGAAAAATCCATCATACCTGCAATAAGACAATTTCACATTCATTTATAACATTTAAACCTCAAAGGAAATGATATTAATATATTTTAAAGAACTTCGTATTGAAAGATTAAAACTAACCACTTGAAGTCGACGCCTCTGATTGCCATAGAGGATAAGAAAGACGTCTGTGTTCAGTTGAGAAAATCAAAACCCTAGAACGAGGCCATCAAAGATCGAGATTGAATAATTTGAATCGTCATTAGCGAAAAAAAGTATTTAAAAAAACTGAGAACGTTAGCGTTTCCTAGTAATAGTAAGTAGAAAGCTTGTCTGATTCGGTTCGTGAAAAGGAAACCATTTGATTCTGAGGGAGGAGTGAAGTGAACTAGAAAGAGAGAGAAAAAAAAAAGGAAACGGGAGACTTTATGCCGTTAATTGACGGCGTTAGTGAGGTTCGCTATTGTGTATAAGCCGTACGTTGTACACCACAATCGTGTGGTCGGTACCGACTGATGAGATGCTGTAATCCACTTGTTAATGGACGGGTGCTAATGGATACGGCGGCTATTGGGTGCCACGTTTGATTGGTTCGTTAAAGCGGGTAAAATTTTCTAAAGCACGGCACTGTTTTATAATAATTTCAATTGAATACGTGAATGAAAGATGGTGGACGGTTATAACAACTGGAACGAAAGAGTGGAAAAATGGCCCTAGCTTCTAAACCACACCGATATTCCCATATGATTTCTCGGTTATTAAAAGATTGAAATGCAAGTGGATTTGGTATATATTCAAAACTTATTATGGAATTCAATTTATAACACGGAAAGATGGTACCATCAGCAGGCCCACAAAAGCTTCAAAGAAACGACAGCAAAAGCTGTTGACCCTTCATATAAGGTGGGATTAATTCTGCACTCCAACCCACAGATATTTATCTCGATTTTAATAAGTATTATATTTTTTTATTTTTATGACATGGGTGTCCGAGCTGTCTGCATACAAAAAATCTTATACTCACGATAATTGGTTAGTTTATAATGGGTCTCACTTGGGTCTCATCTGATAAATTATGATTGATTAATTAAAAGTTGTCACGTTGAGTTGTGAGAGAAAATATGTGAGAAAAGACTCTGGATGTAACATTACTCATCTGTATATACCTCAACTAATTTTGAGGGATTCATTAAATATTCTACAAGCTTAATGTTTCAAGATAAGTCACAAATAACTATGGGTGACTTTAAGGTGGTTTAAACCTAATGCTTATTGAATCATTTCAAGTGATTTGAAAACATAAAATCAAGGAAGCAACTTTCTTGACCGCCACGTGTAGTATGATTTTTATTTTTCCAATTTATAATTATGGTTAATCTATTTATATCTTTATGGACATAGGACGACGAATAAGCCCAAGATCCGAACTTGAAACAAATTCACGTGGCAGGCCCAGAAACCCGTAAATCAGAGAGACAGAAAGGCAACATATTTAACAAGAGTCTAGAGGTGAGACATGTTCCACCATTTTGTAGTGAAAAGCTCCAACATCTACCAGTCAAATAGCAACTTTTTTTGAAGCAGCTTGTAATTTTCCAGTTCAGTTCTGGTGAGATGTCAATGCATTGGGCACAAATACATCCATCACCGCAAACCTTATGTTACAAAGTCTTTGGATTCAACACTAAATCCAACCAAATTTTATGGCCTGTCAACTTTGCTTTAAGCAAGGGCCAGTCTTTAAGTAAGCCACCATTTCTGCAATAATTCAAGATTTAACCTGATACGAAAAAACATGCACGTTTAAAATGATGGGTGATCAATCATGAACTCTGCTTTTTATACAGTAGTAGAAGAACAATTCAATTAAGTCTTGGAAGATTTGTATGAAAATGCTTGACACAGGCGCAGATTGCTCTGATTCTTTTAAGAAATGTGCAAAAATCTGGATGTAATGTAGCTAATTTCATTTTGCAATGGGCTATTGTGAAATCTTTCATAGATATCAAGATAAAAGTAATACTATACAGAACATCAAGCACAATCCCTGCGCTGAATCCTTGCTAGAATTTGTGAAGAAGATCAATGGGACAATGATGACGATATTACAGTGGTATTGGGTCAAATATAATTGATATTTCTAGGCTTCAACTCGATGGAGAAGAAGAAGAACCGTGTAATTGATACTTCTTGCAGCCAGTAACGTCATATATGGTTCATTGTGGCAGCAATATTAATAATAAGAACAGTCGTCAAATATAAGACATTACACAGATTTAAAAAAAGAAAAAAAAAAAAAAAAAAAACCTAAACATTGCGTCTACTATTACGCCAAAATAATGCTCCTACTTGATTAATTTATGAACTGTGTCTGCACGCACTCTGGAGACGTATTTGATCTGCAACAAAATACAGTCCAGTTGCAGTAGCAGTAATTTCCTGCCTAGTTGTGAACGTGCATTACGATCATTATTTCTTACGAATCATGCCCGAGCCCGAATATAAAAACCTTTTGTGGGAGTAAAGCAACCCATTATAATTCCTATGTCAGTCATAAATATTCCACATTTTCTTACTGTTTCTATTGGCGCTCTGCTATCAGAATTGGAGACATCATCATCCTTTCCTGCCTTAGAAGATAGTTCTTTCGGCAAGTCTCTGTGCAGAATATTTATTCCCCCATACATGCTTCACAACCTTTAACTGCAGCTTTAATTACACCACATGCGAGCTCTGCTCAGCTAGGCTAGTTTTGCTATATATAGATACTGATAATATTAAGATTCATTTAGACTTTAATTGTATGTGTTTGTCCAAGATTTTGTTGTCTGAGAGATTGAGTATTTTCTGCAATTTCAGCCGTTGTCTTGTCACTACCCAATTAGGTAGTTGATTAGAATGTTGGTTCGAAACTCTAGTTTAATTTGGGTTTAAGAATTGATTGTGGCCAACGCTTATAGTTTAGCCAATAATTAATCAAAGATTAAACACCCATCTACTGAACACGACAAATCAAGAGTCAAGATCAAGCTTATACTAATAAAGTAATGATATTTTTGTACTTGAAATCCTAAACAAGAAGTCTGACAATATATATATATATATAACTCCCTGCCTCATAACATTACACAGCGATAATCAGGGACTTCACTTATATCTTTCTATTAAAAATTAGCGTGCGAGTTATGACCCTAGGAGTTAAGCGTAAAAACAAACCCTTTAGGGTTGATTCAACCGACGAAACTTGGTCAATAAAGTTTGATGGAAAATCTGAAATATCATTTTATCCTTAAAAAAATTAATAATATGTTTATATAGGATAATTACCATCAATCTTAATAGAACTCTTAAGTCTTAATAAATAAAGAAATAAAATTTAAATTAATTAAAAAAAATACAGTTGACTAAAACTTGTTTGGTTGAGCTTATAAAAATTAATTTATAAGCAGTTAGTGTTTATAAGCTAATTTAAACTTATAAGCAGTTAGCGCTTATAAGCTAATTTGAGTTTATAATTATTTGAAATTTTAAACAGTTATGTGTTTGATTAAAATACTTATAAGTGATTGATAAATAGTTAAGACTTTTGGTAAAATGTGGCTTATAAGTACATTTTATTATTAAAATATTAAAAAAGATATTATATTATTTTATCAATTAATAAATTATACGATAAGGTTTTAAAATTAAATAGGGATAATGTAGTAATATGTTTGGTCAAACTAATTTATAAGCAAAGTGCTTATAAGCTAAAAAAAAAGTACCTCTCTTTAACTTATCTTTTTTTTGTAGAGGTGGGCAAGGGACCGGTCCCTTGCGGGCCCAGGCCTTGGCCTGTTTGGGACTGGTCCCCCATGAGAAAAACCAAGACTCGGACCAAGCCCTAGGCCTGGTCGGGACTGGTCCCATGAGCTTGGATAATCTCATTTTTCCCCCTCAAATTTTTTTATATTTTGGGGGCAAAACAAAATTTTATAAGAGGTTTTTAGTATTTTTTATCCGTAAATTTTATAAATTTTTTGGACCTGGAAGATTCTTTTTTTTAATAAATTTTGTAAAAGTTCATTTTAACCCTTGTAATTTATATTTATTTTAAAATTAATAGGGGGTTTTATGTAATTTAGCAGGGGACTATATTGAAAAAATATAAAAAAATTTGGGCCCAGGCTGGGACTGGAGGAGGGCCCAGTGGAGGGCCCGGGCCCTCCTCCTTAGGCCTAGTCCCAAAGGACCGGTCCTAGGACCGGGTTTTGGAGCTGGGCTTTTGGGCTCCGTCCCAAATGCCCAGCTCTATTTTTTTGCTTATAAATTCAAAAAAGTTATAAACAAACAGATCAACTTAATTTTAAAACTTATAAACTGATTTGATAAACATTCCTAAAACAAACAATGACTCTAACCAAAATAAGAAAAAGACGCAAAAAACTTAAAAGAGCTACTAAACACGTCGAAACAGTTTATAAGTAGTTAGTGTTTATAAACTAATTTGAGTTTATAAGTATTTGAAATTTTAAACAGTTACGTGTTTGATTAAAATACTTATAAATGACTGATAAATAGTTAAGACTTTTGGTAAAATGTGGCTTATAAGTATATTTTATTATTAGAAGACTAAAAATGATATTATATTATTTTATTAATTAATAAATTATACGATGAGGTTTTAAAATTAAATAGGGATAATGTGGTAATATATTTGGTCAAATTAACTTATAAGCAGAGTGTTTATAAACTAAAAAAAAAGTATCTCCCTTTAATTTATTTATTTTTGTTTATAAATTTAAAAAAGTTATAAATAAATAGACTAACCTAATTTTAAAACTTATAAACTGGTTTAATAAACATTGTTTAATCAAGCAACTCTAACCAAAATAAGAAAAAGACGTAGAAAACTTAAAAAAGGGTTACTAAACACGTCGAAACAGTATTTTTCCCTGAAAATGTCCTCCAATTTAGAAACCGAGATGCCATGCCGTCAGAGTAGAAACGAGTTTTATCACCTTACTAGACACGTAACTTTTATTATCTTATGAGTTCTGTAATTTTGATTGGATAAAAAATGTCCGTTTTATTTCAATAAGTTCTACGTCGAATCATGACTAGCAACGTGTTAATAATCCAACACAATCTGATTGAATAAAAGACTCCTTTATCATAACGTGATGGGAAATATGATTGACAGGATTGATTATTATAAAGGGTCCCACAATCGTTTTCGGTGGCTAATCAAGTTCGGCAAACGTTTTCCATCAAACTGTGAGATAAGCAAGATAAATCTGTTTTTGAAGATTAACAAAGTAAACTTTGAAAAGCGTTTTCAATGTTTTTTAGATTCTGTAAAAATACAAAAGGGATCAGCAATTGACCTGGGCGGTGGACCTCCTGAGCCATAGCCCATAGGTAATGAAAAAAATGTGAAGGATTTAGTTAAATTAATAAATTTATAAGATTTAAAAATAGTTAAATAAAATATAATAGAATAGAAAAAATATGTATTATAAAAATAATATTAATAGAATAGAGAAAAATAATTAAACAATGGGACCCTAGATGTACACACTGCACTATGGTAGAGAGAATAGGACATCTTATAAAGTCAAAAGAGAAGCATCTCACCAGTGGTTTCTACTTAATATAATTTCCTTAGAAATCAACAAAAACTATATGAATTTCTAGTTTTCTACAGAGTTTTGGCTTCTAATTAACTCATCTTTCAATTTTTATATTACTTTCTTGACTAACTACTTCCCCTGCCTTTCGGTTTTCGTGTCCGATTTCGAATATGTCCAAACTTAATTGGCTGTTCCCAACAAACTGATTAGGAACACGATGATGTGTTTTCCCAGTAACTAGTTTATGTTCTAGATTTTATAAGCCCGACTCCATATTTTAATTAAACTTCGTTACCTAATCCTATTTCACCAATCACCACCCCCACCCGCATTTTCCCATTTTAAAGGCCCTCAAAGGGCGCCGACCACCAGTTAAGATATCGCCCAAGTTGACATTTTATAGCTTCTTGTGTCATAAATCTGTCTTAATGTATGTTTATATCTATCTCGTTATTTCAAATGCATGTCTCATATCAAATCAAACAACTGTAAAGCAGTTTGAAAATTAACCACCTTAATGGATTAGTATCCCCTTCGGCTTATAGCTTGGTAATCAAGATTAATATAATTTGCATATAATTAGTTTTTGTGTGTTAATTAATAATGCATATGTCAGACATATGGGGCTTGCTTTTCTTTGTAAAAGCAGAACTTTGCCAAAAGAGCAAGTGTACAAAATTGGTTAAAGAGCAGAGGTCATCCTGCTTATTTATTCTTCCCATTTCTCCAATCCTCTTGCTCTGTGAAAAGAAAAGACAACTCCATATACCATGACGACTACTATTCTCTGCTTCTTCCTCTTCCTCTTCTTATCACTTTCCTCTTTCAATGTAAGAACTATTAATCTCTCATCTTCTTTATGGATCTCAATTGCATCACATATTCTGCATTGTCTTTTTCATTTTCAATCGCATCACATTCTGTATTGCCTTTCTTCACATTTTCATGTTTTTCTGTGCTTTTGCAGGTTTATTGTGACAGAGCAAGTGAAACAAAACAGGACATTTCATCTCGAGACAACCCATTTACAGCAAAAGCATCGCTGATTCGTTACTGGAACACGCATGTCTCCAGCGCCCTTCCTAAACCGCCACCATTTCTTCTCTCAAAAGCTTCTCCACTTAATGCCGTTGATTTAGCGAAACTCACCAAAGTTGCCACCGGAAAGTCTCTATCTTCAAACCTCGATGCCTTTTGTTCCTTGGCCAACTTGATATGCTCATTTGACTCACAATCAGATGCGTTCAAACGTACTAGCCGAGACGCCAACTTTGCAGGTTATACCAATAAGAACTTTGTAACCTATGGCAGCGGACGACTCGGTGGAATCGACTCGTTTAAGAACTACTCAGACGGGATAAACCAGCCCAATGACTCGTTCAAGAAATACAGTAAAGATGGAACTGGTCACAGTGAAGAGTTCACCAGCTATGCTAAAGACGGTAACATTGCCAATGAGAACTTCACCAGCTACGGTCCAGGAGCCAACGGTGGCTCAGGTCAGTTCACGAGCTACGCAGACCGAGTCAATGTCCCAAACCTACGGTTCACAAGCTATGACTCGGATGACAACAACCACAAACTCAAATTCACAAGCTACAGTGATGAAACAAATTCGGGAGCTGAAACATTTATCAGCTATGGCAAGAATGGAAATACTGGTCCAACCGAGTTCACTGGGTACGGAGTAAACGCAAACACGGTAGGGTCCGGTTTTACAGGGTATGGTGAGTCAGGAAATGCACCAAATGACACATTTACAAGTTATGGTGACTCGGGAAACAACCCACATAACACATTTAGGAGTTATGGGTTCGGTTCAAACTCCGGGGTCAGTAGCTTTTCAAGTTATAGAGACACAGCCAATGTTGGTGATGATTCTTTTCAATCTTATGCCAAAAATACAAATTCAGGTAAAGCGAATTTTGCAAATTACGGGAAAACATTCAACTTAGGAAATGATACGTTCAAAGAATATGGCATAGGATCAAAGGGTCTGACCAAGGTTGGGTTCAAAAGTTATGGCTTGGCCCGTTCGTTCAAGGGCTATGCAAAGAATGTTGCTACATTTGCTGGTTACAGCAACACAGGTGCCTCTTCACGACAGAGTAGCAATTTTGAAAAAAGATGGGTTGAGCCAGGTAAATTTTTCAGGGAAGCCATGCTGAAGCAGGGAAATGTCATGGTGATGCCCGACATTAGAGATAAAATGCCCAAAAGGTCATTTTTGCCCCGTCCGATTTTGTCTAAATTACCATTTTCAACTTCAGAGTTACCCCAGTTGAAGGAACTATTCAACGTAAAAGACAACTCGAGCACAGAGGTGGTGATTGTGAACTCACTGGCGGAGTGCGAGAGGGCGCCCAGCCAGGGTGAGACCAAACGGTGTGTGGGCTCAATGGAAGACATGATAGACTTTGCCACGTCAGTGTTGGGTCAAAATGTTGTGGCCAGGACAACGGAGTGTGTGAACGGCTCAAAGCAAAGAGTGATGATGGGATCAGTGAGAGGAATCAACAACGGGAAAGTGACCAAATCAGTGTCCTGTCATCAGAGTTTGTACCCCTATCTTTTGTATTATTGTCATTCTGTGCCCAAGGTTAGGGTTTACGAGGCTGATATACTTGATGTCGAGAGCAAGGAGAAGATCAATCATGGTGTTGCCATTTGTCATATTGACACATCAGCTTGGAGTCCGACGCATGGAGCCTTTGTGGCACTTGGCTCCACCCCTGGACAGATTGAAGTCTGCCACTGGATCTTCGAGAACGATCTGACTTGGACCATTGCAGATTGATCCATGACCAATTTCTTCGTTTTATTTATTGTACTAGCTATATATATATTTATAAATTAATGCTTGTCATTGAGTGAGCAAAGTTGAAGTTTTTGTTTCAGCTTCCTATTGGCTTGTAATTGTTATGAATTTATTCCATTGGTTTCCCATGATCCAACTGTTTCTTTTCTGTCGTTGCTCTTTTGGATCTCAAAGTTAAGTCTTTGCATCATGCATGTATATTTTCGTTAATGGGATTGTATCAATATTGGTATTCGTACGCAAAAGTGGTCTTAATTAATATTAATTATCACCATGTTAAGCAAAAGCCTCCGCAAATTATTTGCATTACGTTATGAAATGTACTACTAAAGTGCAAAAAGGGGCCGAAAGTTGAGGGGGAATATGATTTGGAAGGAACAAAATCAGAGCTGGCTAAGGTGTCTGCGCCATTGTTATCCCAAAATATGGTCATGGTCCAAACGAACCCAAATTGCCAAAGGAAAGGAGTGATCAGTAGCTATCAATTGAAGTTGGTGAAGAGAGGAATAAAAAGATGAGCAAAGTGCGCATGTAGTGTAACTTATTGTGCAGTCAAAAGTAAAAACACAGACAGGCAGCAGCTTTGAGTGAACTTCAAGAAATGCATTTTCAAAGTGCTGCCCCTGGTGGGTTCTTCTTTGGTCATCACTTCTAATTATAACGGTTCATTGCCATCCCATAAACATAAAAGACATAAATTTCATTAGGCAAAGTTATTGGACCCCACCACTATTGTTGCCCCTGTTAAAAGCATGAATAAAAGGAATTCATCAGTACTCCTTTTAATGACAACCGTCCATCTCCATCTTTGATCACCAAAACCGTATCAGCCTTACAGTTGTTGTCTAGTAGACATGTTCTACTCTCTCTCTCTGCTTCATTCCTGTTATTCTTGAATGGTTCAAAATTCATGAGAAGAGTGACAATTCCACAAACACAATGACTTCTCCTGTAATGCACATGCCTGTCCATCACTTACTGAAAAGAAGCACCACTCATAGCCATTGGTGCCTCCAGCCCACAATGGAACTTTACTATTCCTTCCTGTTCTGTAGTTTGATGAGGTAAATGCCTAGACGTCCTGGCTTATGCTGTTAATAACAATTCAGAACACAATAGTTTTTCAGTAACAAAATGGTCCCTAAAATTGAAAGACGACTCTCTCCCTTTTCTCTTTGTTCTCTTCTATTTACATAATTTTCTTCAAAAAAAAAAAAAAAAATTTGTCCATCTTCTCAAATTTCATACTCCACCACACAAGACCACGACAGTCTAGGGATGTAAACGAGCCGAGTCGAGTTTTCAGCTTAACGAGCTCAGCTCGTGTGCTACAGGATCGAGCTCGAGCCTGTCAAGTCAAGAAAAAGAGGCTCGAACTCGAGTTGGCTCGCAAACTCCTGAAACAAAAAATGAAGAACTATTAGCATTCACCCAATTCATCAATGTGTTAGTAATTAAACAATCAAGGAAACCAAAATGGATTCAAAACTCACTAGATACATATTCGAAATTCTTCCCAGCTCATGAAATATTTTTAACAAAAATGGTTTACTCACCAAATTCTTCCTTCAATTTCCGACCAACGACAACAAGAACACATGATTAGGAGCGTCATTTTCACAGTGGACCGAAGATTTGAGAGTTGAAGTGGATTTGGGGGTTCGGGTGAAGAAATCATTTCAATGTTTGCGGGATGGAGTCATTATTTCTCCGACTGGTTTTTCGATCGATGACAGCAACAAGGCGGGATGAAATTGGCTAATTCATGATGGAGAGGTTTAGGGTGTCGTTTGGTTAGTGTTTGCGATTTGGGGGAAACCAATTTGGGGGAGAAAGTGTCGTGTTTTACTATTTTTTAGTTAGGGGGTAAATGTCATTTTTTGAAGTTTTTGAAAAGTGCAATTTTACATATCTACCCCACATGGTTTATAAAACTAACCCAAAGGTCCTTACGAGTGCGAGGCACACTAGGCTTGCGAGCTCACGAGTCGAGTCTCCTCTTGTTCGAACTCGACTTGCTCACCCCACCGAGTTCGAGTTGAGTTAATTTGAGTTTAACGTCTGATAGGGTTTGCAAAACCAGATATCTGATCCGGTTTTGCATTTTTTTGATTCGATTCGGAAATTCCCATCAGTATGAACCTAATCTGAATCCGATACGGATTTTGTCTAATCTAGTTTTGATCCAATTTGAATATTCGGATTGGATAAACAGGATATTCGGTTTTATCCGAATTTGCATCAAAAATATCAATTTGCCNAAAAAAAAAAAAAAAAAAAAAATTATGTCCATCTTCTCAAATTTCATACTCCACCACACAAGACCACAGCAGTCTAAGGATGTAAATGAGCCGAGCTGAGTTTTCGGCTTAACGAGCTCGGCTCGTGTGCTACAGGATCGAGCTCGAGCCTGTCAAGTCAAGAAAAAGAGGCTTGAACTCAAGCTCGCTCGAGTTTGAGTCGAGCTCGAGTTGGCTTGTGAGCTCCTGAAACAGAAAATGAAGAACTGTTAGCATTCATCCAATTCATCAATGTGTTAGTAATTAAACATTCAAGGAAACTAAAATGGATTCACAACTCACTGAGATACATATTCAAAATTCTTCCTAGCTCATGAATTTTTTTTAACAAAAACGGTTTACTCACCATATTCTTCCTTCAATTTCTGACCAGCGACATCAAGAACACATGATTAGGAGCGCCACTTTCATAATGGACCGAAGATTTCATGGTTGAAGTGGATTTGGGGTGAAGAAATTGTTTCAATGTTTGAGGGATGGAGTCGTCGTTTCTCCGATTGGTTTTTCGATTGATGACAACAACAAGGTGTGATGAAATTGGCTGATTCACGATAGAGAGGTTTAGGGTGTTCGTTTGGTTAGTGTTTGCGATTTGGGGGAAACCGATTTTGTGGAGAAAGTGTCGTGTTTTATTATTTTTTAGTCAGGGGGTAAATGTCATTTTTTGAAGTTTTTGAAAAGTACAATTTTATAATCTGCTCCACATGGTTTATAAAACTAACCCAAAGGTCCCTACGAGTTCAAGCCACACTAGGCTCACGAGCTCACGAGTCAAGCCTCCCCCTGTTCGAACTCGACTCGCTCACCCCACCGAGTTTGAGTTGAGTTGACTTGATTCACTGTGAGTCGAGCTCTTCAGACAAGTCGAGTTGAGATGCTCGACTCGTCTGACAGCCCTACACAACACCACCACACTTCTCAAACTTCAAAATCAACAATATAGTACCTCCCTGACAAGCCTTACAAGCTTACACCAACCTCCAATGCTAACTTTTTTATTTTAAAACATTTTTATGTGCATTAGAAAGTTCGATTTACCCTTTTAGAGTTAATTTGAGTCTAACGTCTAATAGGGTTTGCAAAACCGGATATCTGATCCGGTTTTGCAATTTTCTGATCCGATTCTGAAATTCGCATCAGTATGAACCTGATTTGAATCTGATTCGGATTTTGTCTAATCTAGTTTTGATTTTATTTGAATATTTGGATTGGATAAACTGGATATTCGGTTTTATTCGAATTTTCATGAAAAATATCAATTTGCCCCCCCTAAAATTTTTCATTATTCTTTAGTATGCCCTACCACATCAGCATTTCATTACATTTTGACAGGCAAAGTTGTCATTGTGTTTCGGAACAGTCCACATACTTTACCACTTTTCACTTAGGACTCCGAATAACTTCTTAAAACTTATAGTTATGGTTATGGACAAAACCGATTGGATCCAAAAATCTCGTTTCTTTGCAAAGCCGATCTGGTATCCGATCCAGAAATTTGGATCTTCCAAAAATTGATATCCAAGTCTGATCCAAATTTTCGAATATCTAGTTTTTTCACATCGGATCGGATCAGATACGAACCGAATATCGGATTTTTTTACACACCCTGTCGTCTGATATGAGGAAGGATGTTTTTGTTAATAAAAAATAAATAGGGACTAAAATGTTTTTTACTAATAGTTTGAATATCCAACAAATTAATTTCTCGTAATTAATTAATAAAACTTTGATGAACAAGATTTCATTCAAATTGCAGACTTACATGTAACAAATGACAAAACAAAATAATCTTGGCGAAGGTTCGGCTATGTCTTTAGATTTTTTTTTCTTATTTTTAATTATTCAGGTGTTCAGGCTAGCTTCTAGGATGACTGCTCTCATTAGAGTCAGGAGCGACTCGAACTCACTCGCTTGGGAAATCTCTTTTTATTTTTTTACTATAAGTGGTGGTTAAATTATTTATTTTGGGCCATATCTCTAGTTTATGCCTTAATGGGCTGTTTTTCAAATGGGTCCCCTAACATAAAAAAACATTTTTGTATAATCTTATACATGTGAAAATGTAATGAACAAAAGAAATTTGCAAGAATTCATATGCATTCTCCGGCGAAGTATGAAATCTAGTAAGATTGAATTTTGAAGCAGAACGTGGGCTAGACAATGACCATCATGACCATGGTCTCTCATGTCAAAATTTTCTAAAGTAATCAATCATCTACCATGTTAGAAGTTGTAATTGTGGTCAATGTTCATACTATTTGATCATCATTCCACGGTTTCCATTGTCCCAGCAGGGACATTCCTGACTCATCTTTATTTTAATCTGATGTTTCAAACAATTACTCTGTTAAATACCATCTTTCAATTTTAATCAGTTACTTCTATTTAATTTGATGTTTCAAACAATTACTGCACAATCTCAGCATCCAGCTTAATTTGGATGGTTTTTTCTCATTTGCAGCCATTGCTGCTGCTGCTTCTGCAAATTGAATGTTGGAAATGGTTAGATAATAGCCATATATTGATCAATGACTTATATTTGACCTTGGAAAGTGATGCTTCATGAGTTATATGAACACAATTAAGCTCATAATATTTTATGTTAATAGAAACATATCTGTGTTATAGTGGACCCATAGAATAAGTGGAGGTAGGAGGATAAATTTTAGTCTTTTGGAAGAGATAGGTATGGTATGGTGTCTGAAACACCCGCCAAAAATGTTGACAATAACTAATTCTACTGCCACTGCTGTTAATGTTACTTCTACATCTCCACAACTATCTTCGTCATCAATCATTCAAAACCCTCACCGTTCCTTCAAACCAATTAACCGGCGCCGCCTCTTAACTGCACTAACACTCTCCATCTCCTTCACTTGTCAGCCCAATTCATTTACTCCGCAGGTTGCTGATGCCCGTGGTCTCTTCCAAATGCCCCCAATTCGTCTCACCAACCGGTAATTTACCACGAATTTGGTTTCTTTTATTTCATTAATTTAGTTCTTTCTCGGTTTGCTTTCTAAGAAAGTTGAAGAACAATGAAAGGAAAATGGAATAGATCATGAGGCAGTAGTGCATAGCCTAAATTAAGCTACTTGGCAATTTTAGTGGGTCTTAAATGTTGATTTTGGATAACTAAGTATAAGGAATTATGCATTTAATTGGATTAATTTTATTCAACAATTTCGGGTATAGTTAACCTACGTTTGGTTCCAAAGTGGCACCTCTGAATGAAGGTTAAAATTCATCCAATTTGGTTTCTAATTTGTTGAGGGCATGCAAGGTACTATTTGGTGAGGGCTGGGGAGTCTGAATTTGAGAGCTTGGGGATAATTAATACGAACCCAGTTGCAAAAACATCGGTTGATAGTGGGTTATCAGAGATAGGAAAGAAGCAAACAGTGAGGGCTGCTTTTGAGTTGAAGGCAATAAGGGCCTGTGATAAGGGCTGCTGGATTTGGCCTTCTATTACTCAGAGAGCTTACCAGGCTGCTGAGATTATCGCCTCTGTTAATGGAATCAGTCGAAGGTAATCTAATTTGTATTGCTTTCTTATTTCAGTTGTGATGAATATTGGAAATGGAATCTATAGATGTTCTTAGACACATATATGTAAGATGGAATTGTAATCTTTTTCTTTCCACTTCTTTGAGACCAATTGGATAGTTAAAATGAACTCATAATCTGGTTTCTTGTTGGAATAGTAATTGATAATATTGCTGCGAGAATCTTCTTATGATATTTAATTGCTTTCAATTGGTGCAAACTATTATGGAAATTGCAGTTATATAGTTCCTGAGTATAGCTTTCTGGATGCTCGTGGACTGGGAGCTTATGAAGGCAAGAAATTGGAATCTGTTTCAGAAGTAAGATCTTCATCTTTCTTCCTGCCACTAATGATCCAAGATGCGACTGCCATGTATTTGTTCTTATTATTAATTACTATAGTGATTCAAATTATACTGCTTGATTATACCCATGTAGGTTAGTTGTTGTCTACCAAAAAGAAAGAAAAATCAGGAATTGGTTCTAGGATGTAGGGCAACGCCTTCCCCACAGTGTCTTGAGCCACATAGACATTCTAGAAAAGTATTTGTGTAATTGCTTTCATTAAAATGTTTCAGATATATGCATCCGATGGTATTTCTCCGACTATTAGGCCTCCTCCGATAGATGATGGAACCCCAAACGAGAGTGTTGCAGATGTGTTTGTTCGCATTACACAACTCATGTCGATTCTTGAGACACAGTACTCGGAAGACACAGTGATTATTGTCTCACCTGATTCTGACAATTTAACAATCCTTCAAGCTGGATTAACCGGTCTTGACCTCCGAAGGTAACATTATAGTTGATAATTGTCATCTACATCTAGTATAAATATATGTTGACAGTTTGTTTTTCCATTTTATTTCAGGCATCGGGAACTTTCCTTTACCCCAGGGGAAGTTAGATTTGTTGATGCCAATAGCATACCCACTTACAAGCAACCTGCATCTGCCATTTATAAATGTTTAAATCCACCAAACTGTAATTGACATTAAATCTTTACTAAAACTGTATATACACAAAAGAATTGAAGTCAATCTTGACCTGCAGCTGGTTGATTCTGTGCTCGTTCGATTTCATCACCATCATCATCATCATAATATACTCGGTAGATAATTACTTGCTTTTATCTGTCAAAATATTAATGCTAGTGATACAACCCAAATAGCATTTTTCTGGCACCTAAGTCACTGAAATATACCATGACTGGGATTATGTATTCATCATTTGGCCATGAACGGGATAATGTTGGAGTGGTCGACCACTTCAACAATAAGAGACCACGCAGACACATTCAACCACTTCATTCGAGAGAGGTAAAACAGTATTGCAATAATATTGATTCTATTAGACGTAGCATGTCAATTAGGTGAATTAGTGTAAATCGTGCGTATATTTCTTTCTCTGTATTCTATTGACATTTTTGTATGTTTTCTGTCTTAATTTCGTATTATTCTAGATTGTTTCAGATAACCATTGAGCCTAGTTAGTAAATACGTGTATAAGTTTTACGTATTTTATAAGGGGCTTCGAGAATTATTCGTGAATTTAGAATAATCGTATAATTCGTAAATTATTGTAAAAAAAAAAATAAAAAATAAAAACTGATGAAACGATGTCAATTTAGTGGGGAAAAGGATCAGAGGTTAAGGGAAGAGATTGGAAAAGGGTTTTTAGATTGGATTAATGATATTAAAATAATAATTTATTGTGGATTAACCGGTCCAAAGTAAATGACAAAAGAATAAGTAGATGTTTGATCGCGCCCCCTTTTTGCCTGGTAGATCTTTTCTTTTCACTTTTTGTTGTTTTGACCAACTAAAGAAATCACTTATTTCTTACTGTACAGTTAAAGGGATATTTCATGAAATATATTTATTAGATATTAATCTGAAATTGAATTTGATATATATATATTATAATATATATATTATATTATATATATATATATATATATAATATATATATAACCAAACATCATTTGTGATGCCTTAACTGGATATAACTTCATTTTTTAAAGTTATAATACATTAATGTATTTAATGTATTATTTAATATGATTAATTATAATTGCATTATACTTAAATTTATTGGATTTTATGATTTCTTTATTTAACTTTCTTACACAACCTAGTAATGAGTAGTCTTAACTTTTATTGAATCGAAATAAATAAATAAATAATAAACAATTAAAGTCATATATTATAAGTATAAAATAATAGTTAGACTATTGTAACACTGATTTTTTATATAGATTTGTGAGACAAAATTTTAGTTCTTGATTTAATATAATTTAATGGATTAATGGGAAGTTAAAATTGGTTGCATTTAATATCAAACTTATCAAGTTTTAAATTCGTAAAGAATCATGGCTAAATATTGTGTTTGAGTCTAGAGACTATAATTTGAATATTAGTTATATATTGTATATTTGTGTTATTGGTTAATTGAATACTTTACATTTGAAATGTTATATTGATTTTAACCAAGTAATTCATAAAAATGTTAAAACTAAGATTGATATTGTCGTATTTTTCAAAATATATTATTGATAATACACCGTATTAAACCCGTATATATCCGTACCGTATTTTTTTCGTATCCGAATTTTATGGTCAAATTTTTATAAAAGTATTTTTCACAATTTACTGTATTATATCCGTAAAATTTTTGTACCTTTTTTCTACCGTACCTGTATTTATTAACTAGGCCATTGAGATTGTTTTATGGAATGTTAAGTGATACGGATTTCCTGTATCTTATATTCTTATTGGTAACATGCTAGTCACTGGAGGCTTGGAGCTTAATGAGCTGCAATAAGTTTGGTTTAATATCGCAGCTTCACCATTGCTTCTAATATTATATGTGAACGAAATAGAGACAACAATAGGAACAAAATATAATAGTAAAACAAAATAAACAGTAAATAAAGAAAATAATACGCGCAATTTACCCTGGTTCATCCAATGTGGGCTACGTCCAGCTGAGTCAATATTATTGCAATATGTCTCACCTCTCTCGTTTACAATGAATGAATTACTCTCACACCCATAACAAGAGAAAAGTATGTTTATATACTAGGTTTAAGAGATTAAACCTAGTTTTACAAGGATTCTTATTCCTAGCCCAACCCAAAAAGGAATTAGTAACTTAAAAGAAATCTTACAGCGGTTATATATGAAAAAGCTCAAAACTGTCTACGGGTTCGGGGGTGCTGCCCCCGCGACCCCAGCCCGCTCACAGAGGAGCGGGACACCTGTCTGCTGATCCAATAGTGAGATCCCTAAATACGTCTCTGTTATCCATTAATATTGAAGTAGTCGATAATTTCAATAATATGCACGTGTTGTATTCCTCTATATTCAACTCTAAGAATTTTCTACTGTTGAAAATAATGGCAATGTCAGCTGTATGGTATCTGGCAAAAATAGGCGTTAGGTATCTGAGTTATTGAAAGTTTGCAGATGCAGTGAGTATTCAGATCAAACTGTTGATGGAATGGACAAGTACGGATGACTTATATGATTTGAAAATGGAACCTAAAAGTTGTTGTCAACTGTTTTAACGTTGAATACTCATCTCTATAATCCGCGTGGAGATTCCATTTCCAGAGTCTAAAAAATCACATGTTACGCTGTAGAATTTGATGGGAATGGACTGGGTTTCTTCTCATGTCATTGTTACTGTGGCAGTGTACGGGATTCCACAGTAAATTTAATAAATATTTTTCTCATGCTGTTGTCATCATTATAGATCTGGAGAATAACTTCTATCCGTAAAGCTTGAATAACTATTTCCCAATTCCCACTGACTCCAAATTTCAAAGTCAGAAACAAATCTTTTATATCTGATGTAAATTGCCCAAATTCAGACTTTCCATCAGAATTATATGAAATGTAATAAATTAATATTTTAAATTAGTGTGCTACCCACCGTTTAGTAAAAGAAATTAGTACCGACTTTCTGATAAATTAATGATGGGTCTTTGAAAGCTTATTGTATACGATAAAGATTGGCAGCAATTTTTTTTTTTTTTTTTTTTAACAACTTCAATGTGTAAAGGTGTTCAGACAAGTTAATTGAACCGGTCAGCCGTTTTTTTGAACAGTACTGACTTTCGGTTTAAAATTTTTTTTGAAATAAAAATCGAACCAATTTAGGAGAAACTTATTTTTTGCTTAATTGAAAAACTGGTTAATCATTTAGAAAAAATTGATTAACTGATTTTTCCCTTAAGGTTTAAACTAATTTTTTTTTTTAAAAATTTTTCTTGATTTAAATTGTAAATATCAACAATACATATCAAAATAAAAATTAAACATTCATACGTAAAAAAGATTTAGGTTTAGGGATTTTTTTATATATAATGTAATATAATATGTATTATATATTATTATCATTATTAGTATAACATTGTAAATGGTTAGAAAAACTGGTTTTGGTTAATCGGTTTGCATTTTCTCCCAAACCGTTAACCGAAGAAAAAATGCAGTTTTTCAAATTCTATGAACCGAAACTGAATTGGTTTTTTGGTTAACTAAAAATGACATTCGGTTCGGTTTTTGTAGTTTTCTGGACACCCGTATCGATGTGGCAACTCATAACTGCTCAATTTATAATTGGATAGACGAGATCTATTACGAGTTGTCACGATAGGATTATGAGAGAAAGTTGGTTATGAGAGAAAGTTGGTTGTAAGTGTAGTATTGCCAATTTTTATATGAGGAGAGTCAGTTTTAATAATCAAATTTAATTTTTCTATTTCATAAATAAATAAACCAATAGACATTGATGTAACCTATTAGTCAAATATTACAAAATTTAAATATAAACATTAGAAAATCTATTTAAATTGAACAAGGAGAAGAAGAAAATAAGATAAAATGAACAAATCTTGGGTGACTTGGACGGAAAATAGAGACTTTTTAACTATAAGGAAAATATTATATTCACAATCTCTTCTTACAAATTTTTTCTTACAATCCTGATATCATAACTTATAATTAATCAACTCGTAATGGGTCGTATCTGAGTTCTACTTAATAAATTATAACTAATCAATTATAAATTATTATGCTGGGATTATGAGATGAGATTATAGATGTGAATAATATTGATGAGGTCATTGCTGATCGGGAAAGATAACCACTGAACCATTTACCCCTTCTGGCATCTGGACGGAAGCCCCTGTAAAAAAGAAAATGACACAGAAAATAATGGTCGGTGAAAGCGCGGGACTTAAAAAAAAAAAAAAAAAAAACAGAGAGAAAAGTCAAGGTCAAGCAAAGAGCTAGAGAACAAAACGTTCATGTAATGAATACGTAGTCGAAAAGGATCTTCATCTTCTCTGTTGTCGGGCATTTAAGTATTATTAAGCTAACCATTTTATGGCAGGACCCACCTTGTCATCATTTTAATTCGTATTCCTCTCCCTCTCTCTCCCTGAGGTTGTATGCTGTTTTCCCATCTTCATTATTTGTCTATATATACTATCTACTTAATTACATTTTGAATCTGAACTCTGTTCTCATAAACCTACTTCTTCTTCTTCATTTCTTCTGCCATTTTCTCTCTTTCTTTCTTTTTCTGTGTTGTGTAATTTGAGTGAGAGTGAGAGATGAAGAAAAAAGTGAGTGACCAGTCTTCTTCTTCTAAACTTGATCGAAAAATTATTGAAAGGAATCGGAGACATCACATGAAAACTTCATGCTTCAAGCTGCTTCTCTCATTCTTCTCAACAAATCAGAACCTCCAAGGTAATCATTTATATTCCCTACTTACTTCTCAGTCTCTTAAGTGCAATAATAAAACTTAAAACTCTACCATTTTGTATGAATCAAACCCTTTCTCCCATGATTAAAATAATAACTTAAATGGAAGAGAAAAACTCTCTAACTACAATTTCATAAGACAAAGCAGCTGTGAAGAATAAATTAATCAGCTTTAGATTTGCTTTTTATATTTTTCATAAATTACCAAAACTTGGCCGAACAGTACTTTCTTTTTATCG